GCCGGCCCCTGGGCGGTCCCGAGTCCGGATGGGCTGGCGTGGCGAGCAGGGGCCGCTCGGGTTACGGCGAGGGAACTTCCAGCCAATGGGAGCGCCGCACGGGAACGCCCGCTGGACGCCGGACAGAGACGTGGCCCCGGACCCGCCCGGCTTTGGACAGAGCGAGTGTTCCCACGAGCTGGGGCCGAGCTGGCACCGGCGAAAGCCACTCCGGCTCTAGGTTAGGGATGGTGACAGTTAAAAGACGTAAGAGGAGAGAGAGGCGCATTTCTGTTTGAAAGGAGCTACTTTTGCATAGCAAGGGCAGGGTTTTTAACTTGATTGTTTATGGTGCGGGTCGCATGCTCCTTTTAGCTCAATACTGCACAAAACGGTATCCTGAATTCTGCTATTTTTATTAGAACACGAGAATTTGTAAGAATCCCTCACAATGATTATAAAACACATACTTCCAGATCCTGTCCTAGACCTATCGAACTCCAATGGAGGGTCCCGGGAATGTATGTATAACAAGCGCTCTTGGGCGATTCTTAGCGTCTGGCAATTTCAGGAAATACTGAGTTAGGTTATATTGCATTTGTCTCAGAAATTGGATCATTAAAAAAGAGAGAGCAGGAGGAGTCAAAGCTGCTGCCACCACCAAATTATTTTTACCAGACCTATGTAATCATCTCCCCTCCTGCCCCTCCCACTCCCACCATCTTTCCTGCGCACGCAGCAGGGATCTCACCTTTGAGGTGTGGGATAGATTCCTGGTCAAATCACTTTACCCCTCTATATCTACCTCCTGTAATTAAGAAGGTTGCAAATGTCAGCTCTGAAGGGCTATGGCTTTTATGTAATGATTCAACAGTTTAGGGTTTTTGTTTCTTTTGTTTGCTGCATTTGGAAAAGTCTGCTCAAGTTTGCACTCCCTGAGTTTAGACCATGTGCCTGTTATACCGAGGTTCCTGAAAAGCTTGGGAAGCAAGGCCTGAGAAGTGGCCCAAATCAGAGATTGGCTGAGTGACCAAGAGAGTGATTAAGAGGATGACGAAGTTGTCATGTGGCACAGTCATCACATTCTTAGAGTCAGGGGACTTTTTGCAATACAGAGGAGGTGTAATGGAGACTGAGAAGGCGCCCAAAGAAACATCTGATTACAACACAAGGTGGTTGACACATACTAAGGGCCTTTTTGCTGGCTGAGCCTATTTCTCCCCCAAATCCTGAGAGAGAGGCCTGCCCAAGCATTAAAAAAAAAAAAGATAAAGAGGGGCCGGCCAATGGCATAGCAGTCAAGTGTGCGCGCTCCCCCGCTGGCAGCCCGGGTTCAGATCCCAGGTGCGCACTGAGGCACTGCTTGTCAGGCCATGCTATGGCGGCATCCCACATAAAGTGGAGGGAGATGGGCGCAGATGTTAGCCCAGGACCAGTCTTCCTCAGCAAAAAAGAGGAGGATTGGCATGGATGTTAGCTCAGGGCTGATCTTCCTCACACACACACACAAAAGGGATAAAGAGAGCTCGAGCCAGGGTTTTTTGCCCACACATTCTGCTTTTTCTCCTCCATGAAAGACACCTAGGACTCTGCTGGAGTCCAGCCTCAGTGCCTGATCCTGAACTTTCGGGTCTGCCATCCCAGAACTTGCAGACTGAATGTGGACCATTAAGGTGTGTGTTGTATGTTTCCTTCCTAAGCCATTTTATTGCAAAATTTACTTAAAAGTTTTAAATTTGATCTTGCACCATGGTCAACTGTAGACACTTTGATGACTGCTCCTCTCCTCACATTAGAGACAATCTCTAATAAAAACAAATCTCTTTTTCATAACCAGAGAAAACCATCCAACTTCTGAAACATGCTTTTCACAGTAAAACTGATAATAGCTGCCAGTCGTATATGTCCTGTGGTTTTTAAAATTCACTTGTTCTTGTTTAATCTTCACAAAAAAAAACTCGTAAATTCTAATGCACAAGCCATAATGGAAGAAATGAGGTTGGGGGCTCAAGTTCTCCAAGCCAGTTGGCTCTAGGCAGAAAAAGAGCTACTGCCTAGCTCTCCCATGCTTCAGTCTGGGGAAACTTACTAAAACTGACCCTCAAAGCACAGAAAGACTGGTCCTTCTACTCTTCCCAAGCCACCCCACAGGCAACAATGTTGACATTAGTGCCCTGCAAGGCACAGCTAGGATTTAGGGGCCAGGTTCAGAAAGGGTTTCCTTCTCAAATTAAATTGAACCAAAAGAAAATGGAATATCTTGTTCTAGCCCTTTAGACTAGGATTCCCCTCAAGGTAAATGTGGCTGATGAGATTGGGACAATGCCTATATCTAATCAGAAAAGCCCAACCTTAAAAATCAACTCTTGGGGTAGGCCTGGTGTCGTAGTGGGTTGAGTTCGTGCGCTCTGCTTCAGCGGCCCAGGGTTCACAGGTTCAGATCCTGGGCACGGACTTACACACCACTTATCAAGCCATGCTGTGGCAGCGTCCCATATAAAGTAGAGGAAGATGGGCTCGGATGTCAGCCAAGGGCCAATCTTCCTCAGCAAAAAAAAAAAAAAAAAAAAAAACCAGGAGGATTGGCAACAGATGTTAGCTCAGGGCTGAGCTTCCTCACACACACACACAAAAAATCAACTCTTTAAGAAACTGATTTGTGATAGGTTTTTCTGTACATAATCTCACAAGAGCACCAGGGGACCAATTAAGAAAGAACACTGAAATGCACTCTGGTAAAAATGGTTTTACTCGGGGGGGCACCAGAGAGAGCACAGCTAAGAACCCAGACTCAGAAGTCTGATTGCCAGGTATTCAAATCATAGCTCTGCCCTCTGAGTGACCTTCTTTTCTGGAACTGTTTTCTTACTGTAAAATGAGGGTGATAAGAATAGTACTTACTGTATACAGCAGTTGCTAGAATTAAATTATTTAACGTATATAGTGTACCTACAACAATGCTACATACACAGTGAGCCCTATTATTATTACTCATCAACTATGTCAACTGTTTTTGTGTGTGTGTGTGAGGAAGATCAGCCCTGAGCTAACATCCGTGCTAATCCTCCTTTTTTTTTGCTGAGGAAGACCAGCTCTGAGCTAACATCTATTGCCAGTCCTCCTCCTTTTTTTTCCCCCAAAGCCCCAGTAGATAGTTGTATGTCATAGTTGCACATCCTTCTAGTTGCTGTATGTGGGACGCGGCCTCAGCATGGCCGGAG